GAAATCAACAGTCGCGTAACAGAGAATTCGACTTAAGTTTTTTCAGGAGCAGAGCGTATATTATCTGGGTTGTGGCTCAATGCATCTTTATGGTGGTGTTTCTTGTGCCTTTCGTCCATTTGGTAAGATCTTTTTAATTCTTTGGAAAACTTGGTTTTACCTTTTGCGAAGTTACAAATAGACATAAATCTTATGTCACGGTTGAAACGCCCTTCATGACCGCAATAAAGTGAGGAAGATCGTCAAGCAAGCGGAGCTACTAGTGATCAATAAATATTATTTTTGCGAGTCAAAGACGAAGCTACTTGCTTTTCTGATTTATTTTAAGGAGGAGGGGAATTAAAAATTGTCAGCTAACATTAGTCTCTTTGTTCTGCTCCCCGTGCAAGTTATTGGTCACACAACTTTCATCGGCCTCCATTCTTTCTAGCTTTCTGTGCCAGGTAACAGTGACTATTTGCGTTGTAGGGATATGGTCTCGCTCGCTAACCACCTCACTGATTTATCTTTCAGGTTCGCTTCGCAGAAGATAAAGGAGTCACCAAGTCTAGTGCGTCATTCCTGACAGGTTACTCAGCAATCGGAGGTTTGCTGGGAAGTCTGGTGCTCGGTGCGCTATGTGATTACCCTCAGTTCAACCGCGTTAAAGTTTGTCAAGTCACCTTACTATGCATAGCTATTTCTACGCCTGCTGTAACCATGGCAACGAAATACGAGTGGATAGCCGTGTACGCGTTTACGTTAGGTGTGTGCGACGGTTGTTACGAGATGTTACTGCCCGTTATAACGCGTGACATTGTTGGTGTGAAAAACGTTGGGCATGCCATAGGTGCTTTATACTGTTTAATGGCGTTCCCCAAAACATTAGGCCCACCCATGGTTGGATGGATTTTTGACGCTTCAAAAAATTACAATGTATCTTTTTACGTCACAGGCGGCGTGGCGTTGATTGCTGCGATTGTTATGTATACCGTAAACTGGGTCAAGTTCAATGACGAGAATGAAGAGAGGATAATGAGAGAAAGGTTATTACCCTATAACGAGACTTCAGGATCAAATCAGAGCATACAGTACACCTGATGTTTCAAGGCCATGGGATCGGTACCATCACATGTTCCCAGTTGAGACCGAGCCCGCGTTTACTCTTTAAAGGGTCAGTTGCCCACTAGACTCGCTGTGACTCTTGTGGCGAACGTGCTAACGAGTCAGTTTTCTGATTGGATAGAACAACTGGAACGTATTGTTTTGATAGGATCTTGTGTATTTCTTTTCCTTAGTTACGTTGCAGAAAGCAAGAACTCATGGGCTC